AATGCTTTCCACCAGTCTTTATGTTGATGTCTGTCCAGTCATTTTTGGTTATCCAGAGCTCATTTTTTAGTACAGGCATTCTCACAGTGTGGAATCCTGGCTAGGAGCATCAGTCATCCCCATTTTGGAAGCCCCCCACCCCTTCCCTGGGGCGAGGCCAGCCAGCAATGTTTTGGGAAGCCCTGAACACCATGGTGCATGCTAGAATTTGAGAACTGTCTCTGTAGTAGAAGGGCTCTTGAGTCTGTAGTAGAGGGCTCTTGAGAACAATATTCTCTGAGTACTTGTATTTCCTAACAGTTTGTTGTCAGCCTTTATACAGGCTCAGTATCCCTGATTCAAAGTGGTTGGGACCAGAAGTGTTTCGGATTTCAGATTTTTTCGGATTTCAGATTTTTTCGGATTTCAGAATATTTGCAGAATACATACCGGTTGAGCATTTCTTTAAAAAGCATGTTGTTGAAGACTATTTAAAGACATAGGAAAAATGTTCCTGACATGTTCTTAAGAGGAAGAAGCCATTTACAAGACTAGTGGGTCACTATTAGCCTTAGGGCACCTTGGACGACTTTGAGAAAGATGCTCCCCTCTGACAAATCTGAACACCACATCTTGACACCTCCTCCAGCCTCGACTCCAGCCCTCGAGCAGGATCAACCTGCACTACTGTACCCAGCAGCCGTTCCTGTGGTTCCCACACAACAGCCAGGGTGGCCCCTTCTAAAACACAAGTTGTCCCACGTCCCTCCCCTGCTTTATATTTTGCAAAGGCTCCCCACTCACTCAGAATGGCTGTGAGGGTCTTTACCATGGCCTGGAAGGCCCTTTGTGGCCTGGCTCTGCATAAGCTCACTGATTTCACCTTCTCCTATTCTTCCCCTTCCTCCCTGCTTTCCAGCCACACTGTCTTCCTTGCTGGTCTTTGAAGAGCCAGGCACAGTCCCACCTCAGGGCCTTTGCACTGGCACTCCCCTGCTCTTTCCCAGAATTACATGACTCCCTACTTCACCTTCATCAGATTTACTCAAATAATGCCTTTTCAGTGAGGACTTCTTTCTACAGCCTTCCTCTCAGAAACTGCACCTTCCCCCCAACACACTGTCCTCCTTCCCAATTCCATTTTTTTCTTTACTATTTATCACCATCTGACAATTTATGTATTGTGTTTATTTGCTGGGTTGTCCATTTCTCCCTCTTCCAATGTGAGCTCCCTAAGGGCAGATTTTTTGTCTGTTTTATTTACTGATATATCCCCCATGAGAAAAATAGTTCCCGGCACATAACAGGTGCTCGATAAATTTCTGTTGAATGAATGAAGTAGGCACAGTGTAATTCAATGTGACTTTTATTTAAAGCAGTGCATGGGTCGAATTATCTCTGGGTGGTAGGAAAGTAGGCAATGGTTACTTGCTTCTTGTGCCTTTCTGAATTTGCTGAAACTCCTGTGCCATTGTGTACTACTTTGGTCTTCGAAACAAAAAGTTCCATGGGCTCTAGTTTTCGATGGGCATAACGAACCAACCTTATCATGTGGTGGCTAGTGAGTACTGACGATGCCCCTTCCCACATCAGCCATGGCACCTGAGTGACCCCCCAGGCCTCACTCTTGATGTTTCCTCTTCCCCCAGATGTCTGTAGGATGCACTCCCTCTCTGCTCGGCTGGCCCTTATCCGTGAGGCTTTCCTATCCGGAGAGCTCCCCCGCTCCATCTTAGCACTCATCACTGCCTGATACCACACACATTCATTTATTTAGTTATCGTTTGTCTCTCCTTCTCCCTCCTCCCCAGAATGTAAGTTTCATGAGAGCAGGGACTGTTTTATTTACTTCTCAATCCTAACATGTCAACAAGTACAGGCATACCCCAGAGATTGCAGGTTCAGTTTCAGACCACCACCATAAAGGAAGCCACACAAATTTTTCTGTTTCCCAGTGCATATAAAAGTTATGTTTACTGTAGTCTATTAAAATGTGCAATAGGATTATGTCTAAAAACATAATGCACATACCTTAATTAGAAAATACTTTATTGCTTAAAAATGCTAACAATCAGCTGAGCCTTCAGCAAGTCGTAATCTTTTTGCTGGTGGAGGGTCTTGCCTTGGTGCCCCTGGCTGCTGACTGATCAGGGTGGTGGTTGCTGAAGGCTGGGGTGGCTGTGGCAGTTTCTTAAAATAAGACAACAGTGAAGTTTGCCACATCAATGGACTCTTGGTTTAACAAAAGATTTCTCTGATGCATACAGTGTTGTTTGATGGTGTTTTACCCACAGGAGAACTTCTTGCAAAATTGCAATCAGTTCTCTCCAACCCTGCTGCTGCTTTATCAACTGTTTATGTAATACCTTAAATCTTTTGCTGTCATTTCAACATTGTTCACAGCATCTTCAGCAGGAGTAGATTCCACATCAAGAAACCACCTTCTTTGCTCCTCTAGAAGAAGCAACTCCTCATCTGTTAAAGTTTTATCACGAGATTGCAGCAGTTCGGTCCCATCTCCAGGCTCCACTTCTAATTCTGATTCTCTTGCTGTTTCCGCCACATCAGCAGTTACTTCCTCTACGAAAGTCTTGAGCCCTTCAAAGTCATCTGCAAGGGTTGGAATCAAATTCTTCTAAACTCCTGTTAATGTTCATATTTCGACCTTCTCCCATGACTCACAAATGTTCTTAACGGCATCTAGAGTGGTGCATCCTTTCCAGAAGGTTTTCAGTTTTCTCTGCCCAGATCTTCTTCCAATAGAAGGCTGTTAGGTCTACACTGCAAATCTGTGGTTGAGCTTAGCTAGATCCTGGATAACCTGCTGTGGCTTCCACATCGGCATCCACTCTCCACCTTGAGCTTTTGTGCTATAGACACAGCCTCTTTCCTTAGACCTCATGCGCCAACCTCTGCTGGCTTCAGACTTTTCTTCTGCAGCCTCCTCGCCTCTCTCAGCCTTCACAGAATTGAAGGGAGCTGAGGCCTGTGCCCTGGGTCAGGCTTTGGCTTAAGGGAATGTTGTGGCTGGTTTGATCTCTCTAGACCGCTAGCACTTTCTCAACATCAGCAATGAGGCTGCTTGGCTTCTTGTCCTTGATGTGTTTCCTGGGGCAGCACTTCTAATTTCCTGCAACGGATCGCAACCCTCAGTGTCGCCCCCGTACCGGACCGGGACCGGCAACGGGATTGCAACCCTCGGTGTTGCCCCCACGCCTCGCTCAGCCAGTGAGCGGGAACCGGTCTGCATGTGGGATCCGAACCCTCGGCGGGAGCGCCTCCGTGCTTCCCAAGCGGCACACTAGCGCAGTGCGCCACCGGGCCGGCCCCACCTTGAGCTTTTATGCTATGGACACAGCCTCTTTCCTTAGACCTCATATGCCAACCTCTGCTGGCTTCAGACTTTTCTTCTGCAGCCTCCTCGCCTCTCTCAGCCTTTGCAGAATTGAAGGGAGCTGGGACCCGTGCCCTGGGTCTGGCTTTGGCTTAAGGGAATGTTGTGGCTGGTTTGATCTCTGTCCAGACTGCTAGCCCTTTCTCCACATCAGCAATGAGGCTGCTTGGCTTCTTGTCATTCGTGTGTTTCCTGGGGAGCACTTCTAATTTCCTTCGAGAACTTTCCCTTTGCACTCATAACTTGGCTGTTTGGAGCAAGAGGCCTTGCTTTTGGCCTGTCTTGGCTTCTGACATGCCTTCAGCACTGAGCTTAATCATTTCCAGCTTTGTCTTAAAATCACTTGAACACTTAAAGGCCATTGTAGGATTAATTGGCCCAATTTCAGTATTGTATTTGGGAATAGGGAGGCCTGAGGAGAGGGGGAGAGATGAACAACCGGTCGGTGCAGCAGTCAGAACACGCACATCATTTATGAAGTTTGCGTATTGTGTGGGTGTGGCTTGTGGTGCCCAAAACAATTATGGTAGCAGCATCACAGATCACTGATCACAGAGCACCGTAACAGATGTAATAATAATGGAAAAGTGAAAACTATTGCAAGAATTACCAAAATATGACACAGAAACACGAAGTGAGCACATGCTGTTGGGAAAATAATGCTGGTAGATTAGTTCTACACAGGGTTGCCACAAACCTTCGATGTGTAAAAACTCACTATCAGTGAAGAGGAATGCACATGGTATGCCTGTAAGGTACTAGGTCGAACTTGTAATCTTGGAGTTAGGCCCTTACAGATTTGGATTAGGCTTGTGAGACAGTATGTCAGGCAAGTGTTCCTATATAAGCAGTTTGCTGTCTTGTGTGATTTGTGTAGGAAGCTGCAGTTTGGAAAATTTCTTGTGATAGTTACTGTTATCAGGCAAATTGTGTGTGAGAGCCCTCTCTTTACAGCTTTCACCGACTGTTTGCCATGGTTTGACACAGGTGACTCTGTTTTGAATTTTACAACTTTCAGAATATTTTCCATAGGGAATATTTCAGACTATATAACAAATCAATTGGGGAGGTAAGACTTGTGTACAATCTTGCTTGTTCCATACATAACCAAAATATTAACAGCAAGTTTAAGGACATTCCGGGATACAAGGTCTTAAAAAATCTGTCTTTGGATTATTAACTACTTTGTTGGCAACCAACAAAGTCTGTAAAAATTACTTCCCTGGTGTTTTTGGAAATTTTGAAATTCAAATCATTTATAACCCACCATATATGAGGCTATTATTATTTACTCCGACTTGAAGTTTGGGACCTTCAGTAGCACTGACATTTCCTGTCCCTCTCTGTCTGCTTTTTATTTATTTATTTATTTTTTAAGGAAAATGTAATTTTATTAATATTATGTCTGTCGGCTTTTTAAAATTGATGCTCATTATCACCACCAAGATCTATTTGCCAAAACATAGATATAAGTAATATACTATACAACTTCAATTTAGGTAAGTAATTTTAAGGAGTTGAGGATCTGCTTGGGAAAAAAATTTCTACCAAATTTCATTAGTGCTAGTTTTCAGAGCCTTTAAAATTACTATGTTAATGAGTATTTAACATTTTTTATATTTTATAGAGACTATCCTTAAATAATGACATATTTGAGGCAAACTCTGATAGTGATCAGCAAAGTGAGACAAAAGAAGATACTTCTCCAAAGAAGAAAAAGAAAAAATTGAGGCATAGAGAAGAGAAAAGCCCAGATGATCTGAAAAAGAAAAAAGCAAAGACTGGGAAGCCAAAAGATAAGTCCAAACCAGACCTGGAAGGCACCTCCGAAAGCTTAGTTTTTGATCTAAGGACAAAGAAAAGAATTTTGGAAGCCAAAGAAGAATTAAAGGAATCCAAAAAGCCCAAGAAAGATGAAATAAAAGAAAGTAAGGAATTAAAGAAAGTTAAAAAGGGTGAAATAAGAGATTTAAAGATTAAAAGAGAAGATCCCAAAGAAAACAGAAAAACAAAAAAAGAGAAATGCGTTGACTCTCAGTTGGAATCTGAATCAAGTGTGCTTAATGATTCCCCTTTTCAAGAAGATGACAGTGAAGACTTACACTCTGATATCCGAGAAGAGCAACAGAAAGTTCAAAGCGCAGAAGAGCGAGCCGGGCAGGAGGCCCGCGAGGACCGCGCAGCTGAGGAGCCGCCGGCGGGCGCGGGTGCGGAGGAGCCTGCGCACCTCAGAGCCAAGAGGAAGAAGAAGGCGCCGAGGAAGCCCGAGGACCCCAAGGAGGGCAGGAAGCTGGGAAACAAGAACTCTTTCTTAGAGAGGAAAACTGTGCCTAAAAAGCAAAGGGGTCAAGACAGAGGCGGAAACACCCCCGAGGTAGATAAGCCGACACCTGTGTCTGCCCAGACGCCGCAGAAGGGCTGGCGACCGGGCGGGGAAGAGAGGGGCCTCGGGCTCAGGTCCGGTGGCTGCACGGAGGAGGTAAGGGCCGCGGGGGCAGCCTCGCAGGGTGCGGCGGGCTAGTGCTGTTCTGAGTGGGCCACAAGTGTCACAAGCGATGAAAAGGAAACGGTCAAACTGACAGTGTTTGCATCATCAGGGGGGTGCTGAATAGTGTGGCTAAGCGTGGACAGCTGTAAAGGCTGAGCTCCTCAGCCAGGGGACTACCAGCTTCTCTCTGCCTGCAGCTGGTTGCCTTTTACACTGACTACAACTAGAAAATTGAGGGCTAATTTATGTGCAAAAGTCAGCATGTCCTTTTAGGGTTACTCAGGTGATCTGCAGCGTTGTGTACTCAGGCTTATTGCTTCATCAGCATATTTTATTAGGTTTTCACATTGTTCTTGGTATGTTCCCTCCATTGTCTTAAGAATAAACCACTTTTTACTTAATATTATACAAAATGCATTAACATTACAAGTCTTTTAATTCTTACAAAAGCATATTTAATAGTTTCTCTCATTATTATAAAAACACTGGTATGTGTTTTTTCAAAATGGAAATATTTTTCAAATTATGAAAGTATTCTTATATGCATTGTTTATCAAGGACCAGACCATAAGAAAAGATAATTTTTTTTTCATCCATTATTCCCAGTTTTGGGAATTTTTCTTAAGTAAACCATTTTAAAAGGATGAAAAAAGTTGTGTATACAAAGATGGATTTGGCAGTATTATCTTCAGTAGTGAACAGCTGATGACAGTCTAACCCTCTAGCCATGGGGGAGATGGTTAAGAAAATATTGATGTGGCAACCTGGGGACTGTTATAGCCATTGAAATATTAATTATGACATCATTGTAGCAAAACCAGGAAAGTTTAGAAAATGGGGTGGAGAAGAATACCATACATACATATGAACACTGCCATGTAAAAATATCTATGCAGTGTAAATAAAGAAAATGAATTTTTAAAAATTATGTATGCAAAGTGACAAGTTCAGAAGGGGGAGCATGGAGAAATAAAAATAGTCGTGTGTGATCAGTAAGACTATAGGTGAGATTTGGGGGGAGATTATTTTTTATATTAAATTGGATTTGATGTTTTAGAAATTATCATGTGATTGAAGGATAACCTTGATTGAGGAAGCAGTTTATGCGAAAAAACTTAATGATCTCTGGCCATGTGCCACAGTTTATAAAGGCAGTCATTGACACCAGGAACCGGTGTTTTCCAGTTTTCAAATAGACAATACCAGCCTTTTATCCATTCTCGTTCAGGGTCTTACATATGTCTTTTTCAGGAGAAAGAGACCAAAAAAAATGAACCCAAAGAAAAATATCAGAAAAGGCATGATTCAGAGAAGGAAGAAAAAGGCCGAAAAGAGCCAAAGGGATTAAAGAGTGAGTGTAAATACTAACATTTTAACCATTTACAGTACCATCTTTTATGCAAAGAAATTAATTTACTATAAGACAGTCTTTTCTAACCTGCTATGTCATAGAACTGGAAAATTTTATTCACTGGGGAATTTAGAGCCTTTGTTTAACCAGTTATGTAAATTTATTATATAACAACTTATGTAATTATGTAATTAGTTTTTCCTCCTTTTCAGTATGCTGATGGAGTAAGTTAGAATTAGACAAGAAATTAGTTATGGCAGAAAAGTAAATGTGTCTTTTTTATAGTGCATGCTAAATAAAACAGACTTGCTTAATATATTCATTGTATTTTACTCTGTGTCATTTGTACCAACACAAGTATAATGTTGAATACACATTTTGGATCACTTCAAGATATACCATAATTGAGAATCCATAACACATGTCAGTACTGAAACAACTGCTTCATTTCAAAAATCACCGTATGGTGTTTGAATAAGCTCCAGTAGATAAATAGTTTATGTACCAAAAGTACTTGGAACACACATTCTCTTGGAAGCAGTGTTTCTAAGAGGTGGATAATTTCCCCTGGGTTTTCTCCCAAAAGCTGTATGTATTTGAAGTAATACTGATAGTAGATTTTATTTCTCAGCTGAGCGAGGCTTGAAGGTAGAAGCAGGTAGTTGAAGCTGGGAAGGAACAGTTGCTGTTCCAGTGGGTCGTGCGTAAGTTACTGTAAGTGAAAGAGCATATCTGTTCAAAATAATACAAACATTTTAAACCCCTGCTATTCTTCAAAGAGTGATTCAAAATATTGCAAAATTGGACCTGGTTCGTTAACTTTTTCTTATTCCTGGCGTCTCGTATGTCAATTGAAGGCACACTTTTACTGTGACCCAGTATGCCTTAAATGGAACTACTGTTTGTCCCATTTATAATGGTACTCACTGGGAGTCCGGTTTTCAATATCCCTTGCTAATAAAATCTGTCTACTATGTACCTGGAGTTTATAATACAATTCTTCCTAATAGCGTTTTCTTTTTTGGATTATTTCCTATGACAAGTCTGGAGCTTTGCCAGTTTTCTTCCCACTATTATTCACTTAAAAGCTGGTGGCATCAGGTACAGTTTTACCAGGTGCATTGTTGGTGCTCAGGCACCTGCTATTTCTCCCCCTCACCACCAGAAATCACATCTATACAAACTAAGGGTGCAGTGGTTGACAGTCTGGTGTATCTAGCAGTAGGAGATGGGTGGCATGACCAGGTGGGTATCATTCTGAGGCCCACCATCCTCAGCAGGCCTTTGCCACAACTACAGTGTGCAGTGGTTGACAGTCTGGTGTATCTAGCAGTAGGAGATGGGTGGCATGACCAGGTGGGTCTCATTCTGAGGCCCACCATCCTCAGCAGGCCTTTGCCACAACTACAGGTGAGTGATTCAGAACACCTGATGAGTAGCCATTCACTGTGAACATCCTTTCTAAATGTTGAGTAGCAGCAACAGAAAAGACCAGTTGAAAGACCAGACGTTGTGGCTTCGATGGTAAATCTGATCGTGCAAAATACTAGTAAAAATTAAGGTGATACCTATTTCTTTAACACTAACCCAGATTTTCTTTTGATTACAAGAGAAATTTGTGACTCATACTTGCCATCAATTTTAATGTTTTTTTACTAGCATTTAAGGAAATCGGAAATGCGTTTGATTTATTTAAATTAACTCCAGAAGAAAAAAATGATGTTCCTGAGAATAATCGGAAAAGAGAAGAAATACCACTGGATTGTAAAACCACAGAAGATCACAAAACCAAGGAAAATAAGCAGTCACTTAAAGAAAGGAGAAATATAAGAGATGAAACTGATACTTGGGCATACATTGCTGCAGAAGGTGATCAGGAGGTTTTAGACAGTATGTGCCAGATGGATGAGAATTTGGGTGAGTTTATTCTGCGGAATTTAGTCAGGGTAGTGCACCATGTTATTTCTCTCTCTTACTCCTACTGTGATTCTGATCTCAAAATCAGAAAGTAATACAGTAGATGGTTTTATTTGGATCTCCTGCATAAGTAACTTTTTATATTGAAGATGAGTCATTCAGTGACTTTTAAATGGATCAAACAAGTATTTTCTGAGTTCTTATAATGTGCTCAGCACATTTAGAAATTATAAAGATTTCTAATTTTCTACCTTATCTATTCTTGCCAGGCAGCCTGATTGTATAGCTTATTAGATTTCTTTCAGAAAATTATCAAATACAGATTTATTTGTATTATTCCTTTTTAACTTTGTAGTAACACTAAATAAGATTATGCAGTTGTTCCTCAGTATCCAAAGAGGATTGGTTCCAGGACTTGCTGCAGATACCAAAATCTGAGGATACTCAAGTCCCTGATATAAAATGGTGTAGTGTTTTCATATAACCTATGCACATCTTCCTGTTTAAGTCATCTCTATGTTACTTAATGATAACCAGCGCAATGCAAATGCTATGTAAATAGTTGTTATACTGTATTATTTAGGGAATAATGACAAGAGAAGAAGTCTGTGCATGTTCAGTGCACAGACAATTTTTTTCAAATATTTTCCATCCATGGTTGGTTCAAGTATTTTCAATCCATGGTTGGTTCAACCCATGGAACCCACAGATAGGGAGGGCCAGCTGCATTGTGAATGCTGGCCTGAGGCTATCAGACTTGGCTGAGAAGAAGGGGAGGACCTTGTATGAAATAGAGTACAGCAGCTATAGGGAAAAATAATGAAAATCGTGCATATATATTTATAACTAGGACAGAATATAAATGAGAAATTAATCTGATAAGACTTCATATAATTTGTGAATTTTTTTTTTTTTTTTTTTTAATTTGTGAATCTTGAGAAACAGTTGAAGAGAATTTTTTAAATAATTCAGAATATATGACAGAGTAGATAGTCTGGGAGACCCATTACTGCAAAGCAACTAGATCCTGGATACCTAGGTGTGCGGTGTGTTTTTGTTTTTGTTTTGTTTGTTTGTTTGTTTTGTCTTTTTTGAGACCGGCCGCACCGTGCTCAGCCAGTGCGTGCACCGGCCATCCCTATATAGGATCCAAACCTGTGGTGGGAGCGCTGCTGTGCTCCCAGCGCCGCACTCTCCTGAGTGCGCCACGGGCTTGGCCCATGCCGTGTGTTTTTGGATGCACTGGCTGAGCTTGCAGAAAATCAGGATAATTTCCAGGATTAGTGGGCAAGGAGGAGAAAGAAGGTTGCCCAGAGGGCAGATGCCAAATAGCAGCATTGCTTTTGGGATGCCAAACAACAAATAAGATAGAGTAGAGAGCATCAGTAAAGCCAGCATTGGTTCCTAGAAAAGACTGATAAAATAGACAAGCCTCTAAAAAGAGTGAAAGAATGAAGACTTAAACAATATGTTGGATAAAAAAGAGACGTGTGCATGGATTAAAAAGGTAAAAGAATGCTGTGAGCAATTCCTTACCAATAGATTTGAAAACTGAATGACATGGAAAAATTCCTGGAAAAATATAATTCAACCAAACTGACCCAAGGAAAAATAGAAAGCCTTAATAGGCTTGTAACTATTAAAGAACCTGAAATAGTAACTAAAACAGCCACACAGATTTAACACCAGGCTGAGATGGTTTTATATGCAAAAATATCAAACTTGAAAAAGTCTTCCTAAAAACAAAGAACTCTTACTTATTCTCTTAGACAGTTATAACGTCAATACCAAAACGAGATAACTATGTAAGAAAGGAGAACAACAGGCCAAGCTCACTCATGAATTCAGATGTTAAAATCTCAAAACGTTAACAAATTGAATCTAGCCTTGTTTAAAAAAATAATCGCTTACGATCAAGATGGGTTTTCCCTAGGAATCCAGTGAGTAAAGGAGAAGTGGATTTAACAGTATTCTTGATTTAAAAAAAAAAAAAAAAACCTTAACAAACGATCAATAAAGGGGCCTTTCTCGATTGATAGAAGAGTATTAAACCTACGGCAAACGTCTTTTGTGACTGTGAAACATTAGGAACATTTGTTTGAAATCACGAACAATACAAAGATGCCTTCTGTCATCATTTTTATTCAACATTTACAAAGATCCTACCCAGCACAGTAAGGCAAAGGAAAAGGGTATAAGCATTGGAAAGGAAGCAAAAAAAATAAAAAAAACCCTCATTGTCAGGTGGCATGATCTATGTAGAAAAGCCAAAAGAATCTATAAATAAACTGTTAGAAATTTTTGAAGTTTTACAGGATGACTGGATTTAAGACCATCGTACAAAAAGCAAATACATTTTCCAAATTTATCTCTATACAATGTACATCTCTTTCTGTATTTTTTTTCCAAATTTATCTCTATACAATGTACATCTCTTTCTGTGTTTCTATATAATAATAAATGTACTTTTAAAAAGATATAATTTTCAATAGCAACACATTTTAAAAGATTGCTAACAATATTGTTCATAAAAGATAACAAGGCCTGTGTAGAAAAAACTAACAGATTTCTTGAAATCTACATGTGCCATTTTTATTAGTAGAAAAACAGTTTTATAAATTTGTCTTTTTCTTCAAACTGCTATAGTGTCACTGCAGTTCCAATCAAATTCCCAACATAGTTTTTCATGGAATTTTTAAATACTGATTCTAAAATTTATGTGGATGACTCAGGAAAAGCCAAAGTCACTTATCCCGGTAGTAATCAAAACCTACTGTGTAAAACTGTAGCAATCAATACAGTATTCACTTGGCAGAAGGAAGGTAGGTAAACTAGCACAATAGAGTAGAGACTTCAGTCATACCCGTGCAGATATGATAACCAGACAAAGGATGGTGAGTCCCAGGTCCATGTGGAGAGGATGAGCTCTGCGCCACAGGTGTTAGAGTGATGGGTTATCCACACGGAGCAAACCCCGCACAGGAAAATCAAATCCTGGTGGAGCAAGGCCCTACCTACAAAGAGGATATTTAGATACTAGGTATTTAGAGGATTGAGGGTAATATCTTTATGACTTTGGTGGTAGGGAAAGATTTCTTAAACAAGACACAAAAAGAACCTACCATAAAGGAAAAAGTGATAAAGTTGACTACAAAATAAGTTTCATTCATCAGAACTAAGAAAGGTGAAAAGACAAAGGACTAGTATATAAAAAATATAGAGAACGCTTGTTAAAGCTCAGAAACAAGCAAAACTAAATATATTTTTTAGGGATACATGCATTTATGGCAAAACTATTTTAAAAAGGAAAGGGTATGGGGCCGGCCCGGTGGCACACTGCTACAGTGCGCCGCTTGGGAAGTGTGGTGGCGCTCCCGCCGAGGGTTCGGATCCCACATACAGGCCGGCCGCTCACTGGCTGAGCGAGGTGTGGGCACAACACCGAGGGTTGCGATCCCGTGGCCGGTCCCGGTCTGGTACGGGCGTGACACTGAGGGTTGCGATCCGTTGCCGGTCACGAAAAAAGACAAAAAGGAAAAAAAAAAAAGGAAAGGGTATGCCTGGCACCTTCTCCCTGTGGAGATGTCATCACAGAGGGGCAGTGCAAGGTGCACGGGCACCCCCACCCCAGTTGCCTGGTGGTCACAGGCGCAGTTCATTGTTTTGCTTCATGACTTACATTCTTTATGGTATATCTGATTTTTAAGTTAAATACAGAGAAAGTTAAACCTACCAGATCCAGAGGCAAGACCTAAGACTTGGTAGGAGTGGACACAGGTTTTGAACCAGTTGGCTTTGTTAGAGACCACGGTCTGAGCTGCAGCAGAAGCCGTTCTGACAGTTTTAGTTTGAGTACGTTCTCAGTTCCTTGCAGCAGTCCTGTGACTCAGATGGCATTATTGCAGTCGGGGGCCTCGCCTGTCCTGCACCCACAGTCTTTCCGTGGTGCTGAGACATTGCTTCCTCCGTGGTGGGTGTGGGGGCTGGGAGCTCCACTGTGGACTAAGACATGTCTGAGTGGGAAGACCTCTCTAAGCCTCTCTCTCCTCACCTGTAACATGTATCCCCTTACAGGTTATTGTGTATGGAGTAAATAAGTCAGTTCATGCTGCTTGTGTATGTTACCTGCTTTTACTCTTACCACTGCTGTTACTCAGAAATTGAGGTACAGGAAGTTGGTGTGACTTGCTCTAAGCCACACAGCTAACGGAGCTGGGATACAGAGCCAGGATGTGTAGCTCAGAGGCTGTGCTGTTTCTGTGATGTCATGCTCTGTGTTAGCAAGGAGCCTTTGAGTTGAGGGCTTTAGAAAAAGATCATTTATTTGCATATCATTTACAAACTTCATTTCTATGGCAAGGTTATCAGTCTAACATCTATGTAGTCTGAGAAATTGGTTTTAGGTGAAAATTCTTTAACTCTTACCATCAGATATTTGTTTGTCATTTTAAAAAATAGCCTATTGCCATTTCGAATTACTGCCAAATGAGCTATGCGGACATCCCAGTAATTGATTGCAGCAGTAATAAGGGATGAACCCTCCACCCCCAGCGTAAAGGCACCCCCTCGCATTGCCCTAGGGTGTGATGGCGGGTGTGCCCAGGCTGTGGAAGGAGGGAACTGAGCTGATTCTGCAAAGATCACCAGGCAGTGACTTCTACTTACATGCAGGTCGTCTTTACACACTCAGAATGACTGTGTAAGTGGCTGGAAGCTATGCAGTGTATATCCAATAATGGCCAAAGAAAGAAGTTGTGTTAGAATTACAAGTCCTCTTACTGAATCCCTGTGATTTTTCCTTCTGTCGAGCTACTTTGTCCTGTACTAAAAATTCATCTCTTACCATTTTACAGTTATAGATTACCTATTTATCTTTATGCCTTTGCAGCACCATGGCATGTGGCTAGTTTTTAATCACAAAGAAAACCACAAATTTTATCAATTAAAGACTCAGTTATATAATGACTCATGTTAAAAGCATATGTACAATTTTAAGACACCACAAATTTAATAAACAGCACTTTTTTAATACTCCAGAAAAACATGTTGATAAGGTTCTTGTGTGTTCCAGATGGTAGACAACAGATTTTGAGTCTGGGCATGGATTTGCAGTTGGAATGGATGAAATTAGAAGATTTTCAAAAGCACCTTGATGGAGAAGATGAAAATTTTGTTACAGCAGATGCAGTTCCCAGTAGTGAGTAGTTTCGGAATTATAGAAATCTCTTTCACAAATCTAGATATATAAAACCTAATTTATCTTTTCTTTTCATTTTAGATGTGTTAAGGGATGCTGTGAAAAATGGGGATTATATTACAGTAAAGGTTGCACTTAATTCGAATGAAGAATATAACCTAGATCAAGAGGTAAAATATCTTTGAAAAATCTCATTAAAAGAAGGTGGAAAGTAGCTCTTCTAAAAGAATTCAATTTGATTTTTTTCTTTTTTTAAATTAAAAAAATTATTTATTTATTGGGTGGGGTAGACTGCCTGGCCGGTGCAGGGATCCCCCTTGACTTTGGTATTAATACCACGCTCTAACCAACTGAGCTAAACCAGCCAGCTCTTTTCTTTTTTTTAATTACAAAAATAATGTTCACTTTATAAAACTTCAACATTGTAGAACTATATAAATGTACAATTTTAGTCCCTTTAATCTAGCCCCCCAAAATGACTGGTTGTGATCGATCTGGCTTTGTCTGTGGTTTATTCTCTGCTGCTTTGAGGAGTATAAAATGACTCATGTTTTCATGTGGCCATTTCTGTTTCTTCAGTGGTTGCCCATTTATAGCAAGTGCCATTTTTCTGCTGTTTGCTAGAGATTCTTCATACTGACAGATGTAGATTTTTATGTGGAAGCATATTAGCCCTTTTTTCCTAGATCTTAGGTTATGTGTTTTGAGTGTTGTTTTGCTTAGAGGATTTTTATTTCTAGGTAGTCACGTCTGTCAGTGTTTTTTATTTATGGCTTTTGGATATCTTGTCTTGCTTCAAAAAGATTTTTATGTTTTTTAGCTTTAGTTGTAAATTTTTTTTAGGTTTAATCCTTTGGGATTATAGTTCAAAAAATTGTTGGGATTTTGATTAAAATTACATGAAATATATAGATTAATTTGTCTGAGAATTGACATTTTTGTTTCCACCTTGAGTCTCTCATCAGAGAACATGGAAAGTCTCTACATTCATTCAGCTCGCCATTTACACCCTTAAGCAAATTCCCTGGGATTTTTCTTCATGTAGGTCTTTTTTGCACATTTCTTTTAGATGTATTTCTACATGTTTTATAATATTTTGTTATCTTACTGTGGTCATGAGGGTCTTTTTTCATGTACATTTTGTTTACTAACGGGTTATTGCTTGTATGTGGTATAGCTATTGCTATTGGACAGGTGTGTGTGTGTGTGTGATATCTCCTTAATGAAATTCTCTTAGTCTGACCATTTTTAACTTACTCACCTTGGATTTTCTAGATGGAGACTTTGATCATCTGCCACCAAATAATTCACTGTTCATGTTATATAAAGCAAACTGTTGATGTGCCTTTAGAATTTAATACATGAAAGTAAAATTCTGTGGCAGCCTTATATGTGGAAAAAAAAATTCTAAAGGTTATTAGTTTCTGATTATTAGGATATTTTAGTGAAGAAACTAAGTAGATGCTTAAATCAGTGCACTTTAGTGATTCACATTGAAACATCTTAGGTAAAAAGACTTAGCTCTAAAATTGTTCTAATTAAATAAAGATTAACAAGTTTTTTCTTTAACAAAACCAACAAAGGATTCCAGTGGGATGACACTAGTGATGCTTGCTGCAGCAGGTGGGCAGGATGACCTCCTGCGGCTCCTCATCACAAAAGGAGCAAAAGTGAACGGTCGGCAGAAGAACGGGACCACTGCCCTCATTCATGCCGCTGAGAAGGTTTGTGACTCCATGTGCTGCAGTGTGAGAGTCCCGCAGGAATTCCCACTGGTGGACTCAGAGAAGACGCTTCTGTAGTGAAATGTAACAGTCATATGGGCCACATTACTTTATAATGTTGATTTATGACATGTAATGGATTTATTTTATCAGTATTACTTTGTAATCAAATTTTTAAAATGTGCTTTATCTAGTTGGAAGTACTTTCTATTAAATAGAGCCTCTGATTAAAGTGCTAATATTGATTTCAACCTTATATAATCTAAAAATCTTTTCCAGCCGAACTTAGTATTCCTTTTGGTTAATAATTTAATTAAAATGTTCTCATGTATCATCTTTTTAAAGGATTTATGTGCAGAGGCTTTTATGTAGAAACCAGTGGCTAACCCTCAGGCGGCAGTTGGAGACAAAACAGTGTGGGGCTATATATGTGGGGGCATGGGGGCTCCCGCAGGCCTCATAGTGAGGACAAGTGAACACTGTGGCCAGCATCCCACTGGGATAGAATCTGCTGTTTTTCCTGATGACTAAAAATTTCAAAACATCTAAAAAATCTTACTTTTAAAGAAGTTTTGCAATTAAATTTGCTTTTTTTTTTTTTTCACTAGAACTTTCTAACAACAGTGGCTATTCTTTTGGAAGCAGGAGCTTTTGTGAATGTCCAGCAGAGCAATGGTGAAACTGCATTGATGAAGGTAAACCCTCCCACAGGTCACCTGTCTCTTCAGTCACTCAGCAGGTGTTCATGTTGGCACTGCCACTGCTGCCCCGTGCTGGGGACTGGGCACAGCGTGGGGCAAGATGGTCCTTGGGCTCCAAGATGGTCCTTGGACTCCAGCGACCCGCAGACCAGGGAGGCAGGGCAGCAAGGCCCAAGGAGCGCTTGGGTGGGCACCTAGGGCCAGTCCGAGAGTGGATGTAACAGGTGGCGAGCTGTGTCCTGAAAGGACATGCACTTGGGGGTGGGGGGCCAGGGGGGCATCAGCAGAGCTGGAGTGGGACAGAGACCTCGGAGTGCTGTTGGTGTGCTCATTACCATTTCATGGTGGTGCGTGTGTCTCCTTAGACTCTGACTTCTGTGTGTGTTGTGGAATTGTGGTTTGCAGATACATTTTGAGGAGAAGGTTGTTGGAGGCCCCCCCCCCAGCACCCTGTTATTTCCCCTCCCTGTTGAGCAGTTTCACATTTGTCTTGTGGGGCCCTGGCCTTGCCACCCATTCCTCTGTGGCAGTTCCAGGTTCCTGGGTCAAGATGCCGTTAGGATGCAGCAGATCCAGACACTCGGCTGCAATGGGGCGGGGGGCGGGGGGTAACATGGCTCTGTCTTCCCACCTTCCCCCCAGGATGCACCTTTATGTAAGCCACTGCCCCCAGCAGGGATTTGTCTGCAATTCCTGCTGCCAGCCGCTGTCCTGGGTAAGCAAAGGGGCGCGGCCCAGCTCTGCGTGGGCCTGGCGCTGGGTCCTCCCTTCTTCCCTGTCACTCTGAGGGCCCAGACCTGCAAATTCCTGCAAACTCAGGTCTAAGCCGTCATCACTGCTTTATGCTTCTGTCTCATTTCTGGTTCATGGAAATATTTTGTTCAGAAGCCTGAGCTTTGAATCTTTAAAATGTACTTTAAAATTTTTTTAATGTCCTTTATGTGCTTCTGCTATTGCCACATGTTCAGAGCAGAGGTGGCACCTCCGAGCATCCTCTCAGCGAGGAGTTACAGGTGCGTTCTGAACAGCAGACACTTGTTACCTCTGGAGCGTAAGGGGGGCGCACAGAAACTCTCTACAGCATGCTAAGGAACCGGGAGCTTGTCCTGAGGGCAGTTGGGAGCCACCAAGAGGTTAGGCTGGACAAAGAATCAGCTTATAGGGTGGTTCGTTTGAATGTTCCTTAGTGTACAGTAGGGGGATGGACTGGCGAGAAGGGCACTTTGCAGATGTGTAGGGAGGCTCTTAAAATAGAGTGAAATTATAGTCATCCGTGCCTAGATTGGTGACAGAGGGAAAGAAGTGGGTAGATTCAATGGCTTCTTAGGTGGTGGAACTCACAAAATGTGGCGACCAAGCTGATGCTCAGTCGCCTTGTTTCTAAGGTAAGGAGTAGCAGCAGGTTGAGCAGGGAGCTGGGTGCTCTGCTGTGCAGATGTGGCCTTTGAGCTGGAATGCTCGGGAGGCATCTCACTTAGGGGGTTGAGCTCAGGGGAGGGTGTGGACTGGAGACTCAGATCTGGGGGTCGGCAGCCTAGGGTACAGTGACTCTAGCCATAGGCCGAGAAAGAGGGAAGGCCAAGGACGGAAGGAGCCTGCGTGGGAAAGAGAAGCAGGAGAAAGATGAGGGGAGGCGGTGGCTCAGAAGGGCAAGCAAGGGCTGGGGGCAGGAGGCGTCTGTGTCAAGTCACAGCGGGCACAGAGGGGCCTGGGAGGGAGCCAGGGTGCTCGGGGAGTGGGTCGTTTCTTCCTTGAGAAGAGACTCAGAGCTTGTGTAACTAGTGTCTAAGTTAGATAAGACTAGTGATATCTGTAATTTGTTTTACTTATTTAGGTACTTGTTGCTGAAAAGCAGTATTTTAATTGCTTTAAGGATTTTGTGTATTGTATTAGTTTTATTGAGGTTTAGAAGAAATAAACGGGAAAGATTTTCAGAAGTTGAAACAAAATAAAAGCCTTTTCATCTCGGGAGAAAGTATGTAAAATTGGTCATTACCGGAGCGCAAGGGTACAAGAAACTGCCCTGGAACATCATTGTTGGGATCTAGTCGTTCCAACGGGGCTTCTTGCCCTCACTGTCACACTGTGGCCTGTCCAGCACCACCGGGTGTTCAGCAGTGTCCCTGCCCTCTATACCAGGTACACTAGCATCTGCTTCCCGGTGTAACAACCAGTAATGCCCCTTGAGGGCAGGATTATCCTGGGAGAGCCATGGGTAAGCACCCTTTGAAGGGCAGTGTGTGAGCATCTGCCCAGGGATGAGCGAGCATGCTGTAGGTCCCTGCTCTGTGGAACCCGGGGCCTGAGTAGCACAGGCCAGGTGACCTGTATCTGTAGGAACACCTGGCCCTGCTTCTCAGCCATCCACTGTTTAATAGCCTCAGGGTGGTGAGACAGAAGGGCCGTTATTTCCTTTTGATAAGTGGAAACTACAGCCAGAAGAATTAAAGGACTTAGCTGAAGTCATGCAACTGGTAAGTGATGGACAGGAAGAGAACCTGGGACATACGTCTTCTTACTCTTGAAATAGGCTTTATTTAGACTATGTCACAGCCCCATCTTAGATTTGTGAATTCAGATTTGTATCTGTGCTTCACCAGCCCTTAAAAGCAGCTGCTGGGTTATTTTTGATTCCCAGCAGTGCTTAGAGATTCGCAGTACTGACCTCTCTGTGAGGCCGTGCATGCTGAGCCCTGTGCCTCTGCTGAGGTGTTGGCTCATGGCAGAGCATAGAACTGCTTACTTAGTGAGTCTGGTGTTTGTCCTGTCTTGGGACTGAAGTGTCCTTTTCAAAGTTGTCTGTTCCCTAAATATTCAGTCAATGAAGAAATTTAACTGGAGCACGCAGATTTCTGTGCTGTTCACTGAGTCAAGAACGCCCCAATGGCATTCCTACCAGCTGAGGCCTGGTCCAGGTGTTCTTGCCCATTCTCCATTGTTCTCTGCTCTCTCCTCACAAAGAACTCCCAGGCATGTGTAGAGAAAGGGAACAGCACGGACTTGATAGTTATCACAGTTTACAGCGAAGTAATTATTATGCCTTTTTTCCTGATGTAGGCCTGTAAAAGAGGAAATTCAGACATTGTACGACTTGTAATTGAATGTGGAGCTGACTGCAATATTTTGTCGAAGCACCAAAATAACGCACTGCATTTTGCAAAGCAGTGCAACAATGTGCTTGTGTATGACTTGCTGAAAAGCCACTTAGAGACGTAAGTACAAAGTGAACGTGCCGTGGCTGAGTCAACAAAGTATGAGGGTACTTCAAAAAGGTAATGCTAATCTTTCTATGAACTTTTTGAAGTACCTTGTGTGGTACATCTGTTTATTTGGACACACTGTAATTGGAACAGCCTGTGTGCAACTGCTCAGGAAAAAACTGAGTAGTCATGAATTTAGTAAGTGGGATATGAATTATTTTTCTGCAAGTTATGAAGTCTTAGAAAATCTCAAACTTAATGCTGGCATGTCTAGGAGTATTTTCTTATCATCTCTTTTTTTAAATAGACTTTTATTTGTTATAGCAGTTTTAGGTTTACAGCAAAATTGGAAGATAAGAGATTTCCCAAATGCCCCCTGCCCCAACATACAGCCTCCCCCATTATCAACATCCCACACCAGATTGGTACATTTTAAAGAAATCACTGAAACTACATTGACACGGCATTATCTCCCAGAATCCAAAGTTTCTCTTTTTCTTTTTCTTTCTTTCTTTTGCTTACCTGTACCAGACCCTGGACCTTGGTGTTATCAGCACCACACTCTGACCAACTGAGCAAACCGGCCAGCTAAATCGTATTTTAGTGCAAGTTCACACTTCATAACACAAGTAAATTAATATGTTTTCATCGCTTAAGAGTTCCTTTGGCAACACATCAGAACTCCACACACAGCAGCTCACTCGATAAGAGTTATTTTCATGTAGCGAGGGCTGCAGCGGCTCTTACCTCCTCCTGACCCACCATACTCGGGATGACTTCCACCTTCATGCCTGCAGCATGGCTTCTTCAGTTCTTGGCACAGGATCTTCATTCTAAGCAGAAAATAAGGAAAATTTTTCCCTCCTTTGCTGGGAGCCTCACATAGCCAGTCACTTCTGTGGCCTCCTGGGCCAGGCCTGTTGCACACAGTGCCAGTCACAGCTGCAGGTAGTCCTAGAAGCCAGCAAGGAAGGGTGCCCAGCCTTCCTTGTTTGCCCAGGACTGAGGGGTTCTCATTTCTGATTTTTCATTCATTCTTTGATTAGACAAATATGTATTAAGCACAGTCTTTGTGCCAGGCACCGTCTGGGGATACGGAGATGGCAATATGGGGACAGACTTGCCCTCTTGGAGCTTTGGTTCCATGAAAGGAGATAAACAGTAAGACAGTGTTAGATGCTGAATGCTAAAGAAAAGCAGAGCAGGGGAGCAGGGCGAGGGTAGAGCTGCAGTTCCTTTTTAAAAAGGTTTATCTGGGAAGGCCTCGCTGGTGTTGGACAGTATAATCAATTCTGGGCTCGTGGTGCTTTTCAACATTAATATTAACAGTTCTTACTATCCTTTTCTATTAGACTTTCAAGAGTAGCAGAAGAGACAATAAAGGATTATTTTGAAGCTCGTCTCGCTCTCCTTGAGCCAGTTTTTCCAATAGCATGTCACCGACTCTGTGAGGGGCCAGATTTTTCAACAGAATTCAATTATAAACCCCCACAGAATGTACCAGAAGGTAAGCCTATGCTCACCTTCAAACCTCTCAGTTTGAAGTGTGACACTATAAATACTGAGTTTTGGACAGAACCCTTTCTTTGAACAAAACCTTAAGGAATTTCATTGTGTAAAATAGTAAACAGCAGAGCTGCTTTGAGGAGTAGACCCAATTGATGCCTGCCATCCAGGTGACTGAGGGTTCTGCAGGACTTGTTCAGAAAGTATAGAGATTAGGTCTTAATAATTATACCAGTTTTTGTTGAGTTTTATTAAAACTTAGCTTCAAGATTCTAACCCTGGAATCTTTTTTTCCCTGGATTTATTACTACTAATCTTAGCTCCATAGTAAAGTTCAAAAGCAAGAGATGAAAGGGCCAGTTCTGCTTCCTGGCCTCTCTGCTCAGCAGCTGCTTTTCAGGCATGGACAAGTGGAGAGGATACTCTCTCTGCCTGAAGGTGGAAAATCAGGCTCTGGCTTGTTTTGTTGGAAATTCTCACCCCTCATTTAAAAAATACATATTTATTGTTGCAGCAACTACTGACACATAGGTCTTCTGCTGTCTCATCATCCGAAAACATTCACAACACTATCCTCCAGTTCACCCTGAGTCATACGTAGTAAGCTCTACAGCTCCACTGAACATCCTTTACAAAGTACTCAAGACTTTTAGGATGATTATTAGTTTTTCACTTTGCTAGAATTATATAGTTTCTACTAGTTCTCAATATTTTTTTTACTTTGGAAATATTGCATGTGCATTGTAATTCTTGCATAAGCAGTAATTGATATTTTTACATTTAAGAATTTACAATAATTTAGTATATGATTTTAAAGTCAAATACCTACAATAGACAGTTTTATTAAAAAAACAAATTAACAAAAAAATTTTTAAAGAAAATGCAGCCAGCCAGTTGTGTGTAATGAACTTGGCACTGAAAAATTACAGTTTGTAGGTTTGACTGTTCACATGAACCATATGCATTGCTGGCATGAGCCCTGGCGAACAGGAACCTGAATGGGCTTCAAGGCAAGCCCATGAACCTGCCGACATCCACACCTGTGCTGCACGTGAGCAGTGTCTGCCTCCACCAGAAATTTTTATTAGTAATCTGAAATCTTACTAGACAAAGGTGCCTCGTCATCCTCACATATATAAGATCCTGGTAGATGTTCCTGACCCTGCTCTGCAGAGTGCAGTCTCCCCACATGCGCACCAGCAGGGGCTCTCAGCTGTCTGCCCCCAGGCCCCCAGGCGGCATGTACATTCAGCAGCAACATTTAAACATGACTTTTTTTTTTAATAAAAAAACTAAAATAACTTTAAAAAACACATACTAAAAGTCCATTCCAGGAGCTATCAGTAGGGATTACTTGGACAAAAATTAAAAAGGGTTCTGTGGGTTGAGAAATGCTGGGTAACATGTACAAACTTTGCAATTAGAGGCCTCAGTGGGGGCAGGATGGTGGGGTCGCCCAGGTCCAGCTCAGGGGCCTGCTGCCATCTGCATTCTTCCCTTGGGGGTCTGAAGTTGCTATCTTGTCACATTTCCTTTATTCAGGCTCTGGCATCCTGCTGTTCATTTTCCACACAAACTTTCTGGGTAAAGAAGTTATTGCTCGGCTTTGTGGACCATGTAGTGTACAAGCCGTAGTTTTAAATGATAAATTTCAACTTCCTGTTTTTCTGGTAAGATCTTCTGTAGTTCATTCAGGACTGAAAAGTACATTCTTCAGATGACTTAATTTTAAATTCCTTTGTCTTAATAAAATATGATCATTCAGTAAATGATCCAGTAAACCAGTTGTTGAGAGTGATGTTAATACCCATAATCATAAAGTAAAATTATCCTAAATTTTGTCAATCTAAATGTTAAGTTCATTTCTTTCTTATGTTAGGCTTATCATAATGTCTTATAATCAATTATTCTGCATATAAATTCTTATGGTATATACAGCCTGATATAAAATATTATGCCTTTTTCTACCATTATAATTAAAAATGTTGCTTAAGGAAGAAGCGTAGGAAATTTTCATGTTTCTAATACCCCAGTACTGTACAACATTGGTTATATTTATCCTTAGTTTTAATGTGTAATTAATCTATTGGTGGCTCTATAAATTCTTCATTAACATCATAGAACATGCTCTCGAAGAATCTTTGTACATAATTCTTTTGCTGCCATCAAAATTCTTTCCTTGGGCTGAATTAAGCAAAATTAATGGGGTATGGGCATTCTTAACACTTGTGCTGTATATATGGTTGGGTGCATCCTCATCCCAAAGATATGTGTGGATATTGTTTTTTGTCACTTTTATCTTTTTAATAAATCAAGGGAGAAATCAAAAAAAGTAAAATAAATTCCAGCGTATTGCTCATACTGCTTACCACCAGTGGAGTCTTCAAGATTTCTGGTCTCTATTTTAAAAACTTTGTTTCTAAATGTAGAAGTTTATCTGAAAAATACTGACTTTATTTTTTTTCTCTTTCCACTTTAGGACAGTCATTTCGTTTACTCGTTCAGCCCTGCTGCAGGTCCGAATAAACTCTTTATAAGGTTGTCTGAAGCACCCTCCGCTAAGGTGAAAATGCATTTCTCATAGTTAGTGTTTCTACTCAAATCGTTACCCAGATTACTTTATCATCATTAGAAAAAAAACTTTTCAAGTATGTCATTGTGTTCCCTGGTCTCTGAAGTTTGAGTGCCCATCCTAGAGACGAGCGCTCCCTACAGTAGAGACACCAGGTGCACTCATCTGTCTAAATCTAACATGAATCATTAGACATAAATAATGTGCTGAGAGGGACTACATTTAAAGTGAGAACACCTCTCTACAGTACCTAGTTGAGTTGCCACATGTACGAGGGTACTTCAAAAAGGTTGTAGAAAAATAGAATTAAAAGATAATATAAATCTTTCCATGAACTTTTTGAAGGCCCCCCTCATATGTCTTTAGGCCAGTCACCAATCCCTCTGTGAGAATGAAAGCTGGACTAAAATAGCCTAATAATGCAATTATTAAAAATAACCTAAGGGCCGAGCCCGCGGCGCACTCGGGAGAGTGCGGTGCTGGGAGCGCTCCTGCCGCGGGTTCGGATCCTATATAGGGATGGCCGGCGCTCACTGGCTGAGCGCGGTGCAGCCGGTCTCAAAAAAAAGGACCTAAAATCAGATTATAAGCACTCAGAATAATGTTCTTTTTATATAACTCTAACCATGTAAATTGATAAATTGAAAATATCGCCAAATAAGAGAAACAGTCTTGGCCAATGGGTGTTTTTCCCTCCTCTTCGTGAGAAAGGGGAGTTACATTTCTGCAATGACACAGGCATGTCCTCTCTCCACAGGTGAAGCTGCTCATCGGTGCATACAGAGTGCAGCTGCAGTGACCAAATGATGGGTGGAATCATTTTCAGACCGATTCCTAAATGCTCTCTTCCAAGCAGTTTGGAATTCTTCTGGCACACCTAAAACTTTCAAATGTAAAGTTTCATCTGTAAACCTCTTGCAGTTTAATCCTGCCATCTGTTATAGTCTGTAAAATGGGATATGGTGGCTCCAAGATATTATAAAATATAAGTATTTGTGCCAGTATCTCAACTTGGGTCCATACTGCATATTTCAATTTTTCCACAATGTGGAATGGTACATATGAGGATTATTTAAGAACACTAAAGGAAAGACTCCTTAACTTGAGATTTCTACTAACCTTGGTGAATTTGTGTCTTTAAAGTCAAGAGTAAAGCATGTGCTTACAGGAAGGGAGCCACGTTCTATTCAGGTTACCCAGGCACTGAATAAAGTGTGGATTTGCTGCCCTAGAAGGATGAGTAATTAATGTGGTGATTTCAGAGGAGTTTGAATCTTTTTCTAATATGCCCTTGCCACACATCCCCTGAGCAGAAAGGGCAGAGTTGGCAATAATGTTATAAACATGCAGTTATTGATTATCCTTCCAAAAAGTAACAAGACGGCTGGCTGGTTAGCTCAGTTGGGTTATAACACCAAGGTACAGGGTTCAATCCCTGTTACTGGCCAGCTGCCAAAAATGAATAAATAAATAAAAATCTAAGATGTAGCATGATTGTAAATCAGGATATTATGAACACTACCAAATAATTTTGAAAAGCCAGATCCTGTGTCCTTGTTTTGAACACTGGCTAGCAAAGTCTCACTCTTACATGCTCTGAAGAAATATTTGGCAAACACTCATAAATCAAGCTCAGTCTGGAGTATTCGAAAAGCTGGACGTTGTTTAGTTCAATAGCTTATAAGTGCATTAAATGCAATTTTAATGAAAGTTTTTCAGAATGTCACATTACAATGATACGCCCACATACACTGTATAGACATTTCAGAGAACTATTTTTACTTTAAATCCTAAACGGCCTTTTCCCGTAGTTTTCTCAGTAAAACACGAAGATGTTGGTTTTACTTTTCCTTTGTGTCAAGTCTCAAGGCTTCAAAACAAAATGGACGTGAAACGTGTGGGGTTTTTTCAGTTAAATGATGGTTGGGATTGGACTTTTTCAACTAAATTGTGTCACATACCAGTACTCTGACTTCACAGCTTTCTGGAAGTAGTAGTTATAAGATGAGTTAACAACAGTGCAGGTAGGAGCAGAAAGGGAGGAGACAAGTAGTCAACTACATAGGAGGGTACTTCAAAAAGTTCATGGAAAAATAGAATTAAAAGGTAATACATTCTTTCCATGAGTTTTCTCAAGTACTCTTGAATAGAGAAATGAGGTTTTTTTTTTTTTTTAATTCTGTTATCTGAAAATCATGCCTATGATGAACAGCTTAATAGGAACACAGAAGGTGACCTGCTGTTGTATCAAGGAGGCAAAGCAGTGTAAGATAGAAATCAAGTACAAAACCTGCACACAGTTCCTTTAGTAGTTTAGGCTGAGAAATATGGAAGCTATGCAAAGTCAGCAAGGATGAAATCTGTAATAGGTGAGAATTACTGATTAATGAAAATTTGCAATAACTTGGAGTAACACTATCTCTGTTATCTGTATGTCAGCTTTTACCAGATGTGCCAGTAACTTCTTTGTGTAAGCACAGTTATATGCCTTCTAGGAGCAGTGTGACATGAGCCATGCAGCTTTATTTTTGCATTGTTTCGCTCTAACCCATAGCTTCTCTACAGCCGTAAAAAAATCCATTTGTTTTTGCGGGGGTGAATAAAAATAAGTAAATGATAAAAGTTCCGGTTTCTTAAGGATGAAGAGGACTCGAATCAGCTAGAAACTACCCTCAAGAGGCTTCTTGCTGGTGAGGAGGTTCCCTGTCAGGCACTGTAGCTAATGCTGCTTTAGCACATTAATAAATAGAATGTTGGGGGGGGGGTAGTGAGCAGTGATTCCTTTGGGAAACAAGGCAGTTCTCCAGCAGCACCTTACTAAAAGATTTATGGACATGCTTAGAACTACAAGTCAAGGCCAAAGCAATCTCCTTGTACAAGGTACTTCAGAAAGTTCATGCAAAAATGGAATTAAAAGTAGGAGTTGGAAGTACCCTCATAGTCAAGAAAGTGTGCACAGTACAACACATGTAACAGGTTTACTGTCTCACAGATGATCTTAGGAGTAAGCAGTCCACCACAAATAACCACATTCACTAAAAAGCAATTAGCACAGATAATTTACTTCAATTTCATTCTAACTTTAAAACTGTCATCTTTCCTCTGCCATTATTCCTTTCGAGTGTATATGAGAATTGCACGTTTTTTATCTGCAAAGCCTGCCTAGTACTGAAAAGAGGGACTCAATAAATGTTGAATAGCTATGATTAGATATGAGGAGTTTGGTTTCAGTCCAGGAATATAAAATTATTCTACCTTATTCACCATCTTAAGTCAATCCTATCTTGATTCTGAAATGTGTAGAATTTTATTCAGTAGACTGATCAGGAGGTTTTAATTTGAGACTCAGATACTCCTTTTTAAATTCTTTTTGGGCCGAGCCCATGGCACACTTGGGAGAGTGCAGCGCTGGGAGCGCAGGGTTTGGATCCTATATAGGGATGACCGGTGCGCTCACAGCCGGTCAAAAGGACAAAAAAAAAAAAAAATTCTACTTTTTACTATGTTTATATGCAGCATACTGGGCAGCCTTCAAAGTTAACCACCATCTCAAATGTACTTAAGCCAGAATGTTAACAATCAGAAAGGGCCTGATAAAGCCCTTAACATGAAAGGATAGTTGCTTAGAATAAAAACTGGGAGATATAAAAAAGCTCAGGAAGATGATTCACAAAACAGAGGCAAAAGCAGGACACCTAAAATAGAGTATAAAAAAACTGATTCATGAGATGAAATAACATAAGATAAAGAATTTTCTTGTTTTTTGTTGGTTAGCCAGTACGGAGATACAAACCCTTGACATCGTTAAAAGTTTAAAGTTTAAGCTTTGTTAGCTATTGTGACATAACTTCAGACAGGACCAGTGGTGGAATCCATGCTGCTCTCTCCTTGTCTTCTGACCTGCAGATGATGCTCCTTTAAAAAGTGAGGCTGGGATTTCTAGACCCAACTTCTCCCTCCAAGTATGGATGAGCCTTACTTACTAGTTAAACTGCAAATACGTAATGACAGTGAGGCTGCACAGTTCCATCATGACCAATTTTTTTTAAAGATCGGGAAGTTACCATCTTTCCGTCTGGACGGTCATCCTGAGCATCCTGGTATCCAGATTCCCAGCTGGAAGAAGAAAATAATCACTACAGCACATCCTATCTGTTTTGCTCATGACCCCCATTACTTGCTTGCCTTGAGCCAAGTCACACAGCGTTAGTAAAACCATGATTTTTCTCCCAACAATGCCACATTTATTAGTTCCTATTGTGAGGAATGACCCAAAATTGTGGGGTAGAGGATGGTAAAAACCCTCTACTAGTTCCCAGTTACAGGAAATTGGAAAGGTGGTTGATTATTCTCAATTTGTGGGCTGCTACCATAATACTTTTCAACCAGTAAAACCACCACCACACAGAGTAGACAACATCTTAAATCCTTTACAAAAACAAAAACCCTAACTAAAAAATGGAAACTTCTGCCTGATGAGTGATCTAACAAAATAATAATTTTACTATTCCAGACAGCATTTTAACCACAGAAAATGTGCCCGAGGCATGTTTTAAAATGTAAAATGTTATGTTTGCTCACATATCCATAACTTGTGTATATAAATGCATTAAAAAGACTTGTTTTCTAGCTTGTTTCTCCTGTGTCAAAGGCATTTTTCTCACGAAAATTTTGACGTGAAAAAGACAGGTCTTTGGGGCCGGCCCAGTGGCGCACTGCTACAGTGCACCGCTTAGGAGCGCGGTGGGGCTCCCGCCGAGGGTTCAGATCCCACATACAGACCGGCCGCTCACTGAGCGAGGTGCGAGCGCGACACCGAGGGTTGCGATCCCGTTGCCGGTCCCGGTCCGGTACGGGCGCGACACTGAGGGTTGTGATCCGTTGCCGGTCACGAAAAAAGACAAAAAGGAAAAAAAAAAAAAAGACAGGTCTTTCTTCATTGGTAAATGAGAACTAATATCCATAATATATTTTTCTAGAGAATGAAGAAAGAGGTTTCAGTCATAAAATAATCTGTTGGACCAGAATCACTGAGCAGCAGACCTAAAAAGAATTCAAGAAATGAATTAATAAATTTAACCTACAGAAATATTCTTTCTCTAGTCCAGTTTCTTGTACACCTGATATTAAGTGAACTTTTATAGAGATTACCTAAGTACCTGAAAAGTTAAATTCATTAGAAAGCAGTGATTCTCCAAAGGTGATCCCACCTGGGAACTGCACCTGGAAACTTGTTAGAAATGCAAATTCTCAGTCCTAAATCCAAAAGGGCTAAACAGTCAAGTGTTAAAACAAACTCTCCAGGGATTCTGCCACACTTTTCAAAGTGAGAACTACTTGTTTTAAAGGAGAGCCTGAAGGTACTGAATGTTTTAAACTAAGGAAACTGCCATGGAAATAGCTATTTCTTAACTGTAATAAAAGCAGATTCAGTGCTTGTCACATCTGTTAGAATTTTAAATGTGTGTTTGGCATTTTAATAATTTAACTTCCCTTACATATCTTCTTGGAATCAACCAGTGTTTCCTTTCACTGACTTTACTAGAAATCTATAATGAAAAGCAGCTATTTTAAAATAACAGCATTCACATTTTTAACCAAAATTAACTTTGAAATCGTAAAGTTCCAATGACAGAGCTACTTGACAATTATAAAATGTCCCCTCTCTGATTTGTGCCGTAGATAGCCTATGTACATTACATTTTTCCCTTACCCATAGATTCTGAGATTATTCCTTCAAATTTTAAGTAAGGGATCTACATATTTAATCCAAACAAAATGTCCATAGAATACAAACATCCCAGGGCTGGCCCATGGCTCACTTGGGAGAACGTGGTGCTGACAACACCAAGTCTTGGGTTAAGATCCCCTTACCGGTCATCTTTTTAAAAAAGGTACGTAAGTGCTTCTCAAACAGTGTGCACAGAAATCCCTTAAGGTCATGTTAAAATGAACATTCTAACTCAGCAGTTCTCTGTGTCCTACTTGGAAATCCTGCATTTCCAACAAGCTCTAAGACAATGCTGTCACTCTTGGCCCCCAGGACCACACCTGTCGTGTCAAGACAGAATAATGTTTATCACCACCAGATAAGGTGGCTAGGAAAGAAAAATGCTTAAAATAATACTTTCTGGATGTATTAGGATGACAATATACTCACTTGGGTTTTGTCATAAATATATTAATGTGTTTCTATAAAATTTTATGTCTGACATAACAAAAAAAGAAAAAGAAAAATTGGGACCCCTTCATCCAAAGAGTAGACAGCAGAGAAGGAGGAATGGAACTAGTATTTCTAGCATGGATCTGATTTTATAAAATTATGCCATTTTTAAGATTACACACTTTCCAAAGGAATGTAAGACTAAAATTAGTTTGGGATCACTAAAAACCCAAAAACTTGAGAATTTTTTTTTCCTTTGTAAATTACACTTCTTTAATATATCATTTCTCCTTAGTCCAGTTGATAACACCAAGGTCCAAGGTTCGATCCCTGTACCAGTCAGCTGCCAAAAATTTAAACAAATCAGTGTACACATTACTACCAATGCCAAAAGAGGGCAGTTTGGAGTTAAAATCCCCTTAGCTATGACCCCAGGGTTTCCATATCAGGACAGGTGGAGCGCCATAGCGATTTCTGCTTCAGCCACAAACTATTCACAAATACTCTAACTCAAAACACTGGGACCTTCCCATTATAGTCAACAGAATCAGAATCAGTAAGAATGACTAAAGGAAACTAAGAAGAAATGAATATTCGAACTGTCAAAAATTAATGAACAGATGCTGACTGACCTGAAAGAAGTATGATTCCAGCATTCCTGGTCTTTAAACTCTTCTGAATTACACTGGAAGATGAACTTTTGGTAGCTTCACCCATGTTTTCTTTTATCATCCTAGGGACATTATAAAGACAGATTTAGTGTTCTAAAAACAACTTTCAATGATTAATTAAAAAACAAGTGTTAACTCATCTCAAAGTTCTTAACAGGAATCAAGGTTAAGATACCATCTTGTGCTCCATGTTTTAACTATTTCCATTGAGTAAGGATTATGTATTTCAATTTAGTAAGGATCTTCCTTTTAATTCAAAATATTCCCCATTTCCTCAAAGAACATCAACCGACTTGTCAGCTTAATTTTATCTTTTGGAATTAGGTAGGCACTATTGAATCCTATACCCTAATTTCCAAATCTGATGATGACTTAAAATATGTTCTTAAGCATCTATTTCACTAAATCCTTCCTTTTATTATTTCCATAGGCTCTCTTGTATGCATTGTTGGTCGCTCAGCACAACAGAGCTTTAAACCCTACAAAGAATCCTAATTCCTCCCAAAATCTTATTCTATTTGGACTAAGGCAGGGCATACAAATGTCTGTTGTGCTCCATCAGAAAAAGACTCTCTTACCCTAGTAATACCTTGGATCAGTGTTTTCCAAACAGTGCGCCCAAGATTTTTCACTAGGCAACAGGTTTATGTTTACTGTTGTCTTATCCTTATAAAATGTGTTTTATTACACACCTAAAATGTTAATACAAAGTACACAATTGCAATTTAGAAATAAACACAATCATAAAGATTTGTGCTCAGTTTTTTAAAAACTGTTAGGGGTACATCATTACAAGATATTGGAAATCACTACACAAATCAGTATTGTTTTGAAAACCCATCTGGGTCTCAAATTCACCTGAAAATTGAATGAAGTATGAACTCCGGCCAACCCCCCAAAAAGGTATGTAAAATATTCGTGCAAAATGTATGAACACAAAATTTTACATATAATTTAAGGAGATTCATAGATCTACTAATGCACCTCCATGATCCAACAGGGCCCATGGTCCCATTAAAAAAACAATAATTTTTGAAACAAGGCATGCCCATAAATCAACGAATTATTTTTTATATTTCCACCAGCAACTGGCATTCTACTGCACAAAATACTTGTTGAGGATCTGCTTCTAAGCTCATTTGCATTCTTAAATTGGTTTCATAAGTATATTGATTCTATATGTATGCCTTTGGTAATGTTAAGTCAGACAAGGAAAATAAATGGAACCAAAAACTGAACTTGGACAACAGGAATTAATTTTTCTGTGACATGACACCTGGTCTACTAAAAACTTAAGGAAAAAAAAGCTTAAGCCTTCTCAACTTTTCAGAAATGTGAATCTGCAATTTGTAGAACATTAACTTTATTGAAACCCAGAAAGGTAATCTCCAGAATTTAGTCAGGTTCTAGTTGTCTTTAAAAGGGTGGCTATCTTAATATCTGTATATTCAGTATTCAAAAACAATCACTAGAGTTATGTTTAAAGAGGTAGTCTTACAAACAAGACAAGGTTTATTGTATACTGCATTGTGATCAACCTTAATAAAAGAATCACAATGAACTACTGCACAAATATATCCATTCAGTGATACTCATAATATGGATTTAAAAATCTGTGAAGACTCGAAAAGTTGACACACAAAGACAGAAGAACTTAATAGTTTCTGGTTCTGAAAACCAGCTGTCTCCAAGTGACACTGCCAAATAAGAAAAAAAAGACCAACCAATAATTGCATTAAAAGAAAAGTTTCCCTCAACTGAAATCTTAAAGCATAATTGTAACGAAGACTATATGACATAACCTTGACAATAGTAGTCTGTCTTTTATTTTAGAATAAAACTGTTAAGAATTTCGTACACATGAGTGTTTGGCTTTAAACCAAAACACGTGAATTAAGGGCCGGCCCGGTGGCGTACTGCTACAGTGCGTCGCTTGGGAGCACGGCAGCGCTCCCGCCAAGGGTTCGGATCCCACATACAGACCGGTTCCTGCTCACTGGCTGAGCGAGGTGCGGACGCAACACCAAGGGTTGCGATCCCGTTGCCGGTCCCGGTCCGGTACGGGCGCGACACTGAGGGTTGCGATCCATTGCCCGACACGAAAAAAGACGAAAAGGAAAAAAAAAAAAAAAAAAAACGTGAATTAAGATTGAAAAAACATTTGAATTAAGATTGTAAACACTGAGTAGAGACATTTTTCATATAGTAAGAAATGTAAAGTCAATACCGCATATACTTTTCTGATGTCTTAAAAAACAGAACATTAAAGATACAGAAGCCCCATTCTTAAGAGAATAGTTAACTATGTGACAGTACACCTACCATTCTCCTGGCCTTTGAATGAAAGGAGAGAGAGACCCTTTTTCACTGAGGATGCAAGGGGGATGTACTTTTATGTTGGACTACAGTAAAAGTAAACTGCATTTTTTTTTTTTTTTTTGTCTTTTTCTGTGACTGGTAAGGGGATCGCAACCCTTGGCTTGGTGTTGCCCACACCGCGCTCAGCCAGTGAGCACACCGGCCATCCCTATATAGGATCCAAACCCGCGGCAGGAGCGCCGCTGCACTCCCAAGCGCTGCACTCTCCCAAGTGTGCCACGGAGCCGGCGCATAAACCGCATTTTTTAGTTCAAGATAACAGGTGATTATTATTAACTTAACTGAACACCCTCCCCGCTATTTTAAAAGTTCAATATTTCAAGTAAATTACTGTCCCATCCCAAAGTCCCACAGTTATTTAATGTATCAACTAGTTCACCTATCATGAAAAGACACTGGAAACAAATTATCAAATAATATACAACAGCTTATTTTTCATC